CTACAGTCACTTGCTTGTTTTTTTGGACCAATTTTAAAATGTGTTTCACTAATAGAAAGCTATGATTATTATGTTGTAGAATTTGTTTTATTTATTTAATGTCATAGCGTATTTTTTCGAACGTATTTTAAAACGAACGATTGATATAATAATATGTCGAAGATGACGTAGAGCTTGACGTATTTCAACTTCTAAAAATTTATAAACTACCAATGATATTTTATATGTAAAAAGAAGCAGATATGTTTCAAGCGCACGTCAAGTGAAGACTCGGAAACAGGCCAATTGGGACGTTTCGTCTTTAGTCGCGTCTAAACGAATGCAATAATAATTTAACAAGTGCAATCGTTCCAATTATAGCTATCTTTTTTACTCACGCTCTTATCCCATCTTTTGTACTTTTCATTAATGCTACTTGTCAACATGTGTGTGCACTATATCGGTAGGTATGTAGATATATATGGCGCGATCAGATTTGAAGAGTCAGTTACTATGAAGATAACATATCTGTTGTATAAAAAATCATTGTAAACTACAAATGAAATTGATGTTTAAATCGATATGAACGTTTCTGAATACATATTGCTTAACAGTGAATATATTACTTCAAAATTTTCGAAATAATTGACAAGAAATATTTTGGCAAATATTTTCGTTTACGTTCTTCCATATTTATCATAAAATTCAGAGGACAGCTCTGGAAAAAGACAAGTAGTAAAACGTTTGTATTTGTAATAATAAGGTGCGGCGTAATTGCTTTAACCTGGTTCTTGAGTTGACCGAACGCTAAGCAGATATTTAGAAACCGGTGTCATGTTCTTTTAAAAAAAAGGCCTTACTGAAGTAAGCGATTGTCTATTCGGCTCTAGCTATAAAGCTTGGACTTTTCAAGTCGATTTTTTGTTGTATCTTGACCTACATAGTAATAACAAAGTTCTGGTACTAAATCGGATATAGATATATATATACTAAATAGGTTAATGATTACTTGTGGACTAGATAATCGCGAGAAAACATTTTTGAACTTCACACATTACAAGTAATTTTTTGTCTTGTATTTATTTTTCATAAAATCGTGTTCTGAATATAATTAAGTGTAATATTTACAAACTATGTGAGTTGACTTGAGATTTAAAGATCATAAGTAGTCATTGCTAATGGATATTTAAAGAAGCCGCTGTTTACTAATATTGCGTTACCCTCCGCTAAAGCATTGAGTATTTTACCATTAAAAACATAATTTAGTGTTTAATCGTAAATTGGATACTATGTATTGTCTGTGTATCTTTCATAAAAGTTTCCTCTTCCTCCTTGTGTCGTAAATCCACAATCCTAAGGGTCATGACCTCTGTGGTATTTCAGAATCTTCGGGCGGACTAAGTATATCATGCCACGTTGATCTGTCCCCAGCGGCGTGGACCGCTTCACATACTATAGTGTTCAGTGCGATACGGATTTGGTTTGACCAGCGCATGTGGAACTTACCCTTGGGTATTTTACCTTCCGCCTTCATAAAATCTTACTCGAACATGATATGTAGGTAGTACACGCCAAGTGCACATCAAATTAAGTCTAGTCAGGTATCTAGAAAGTTCCTTTATTTCACCTTCATTTATTATTTCAGAATATCTTACGACCCATGTTTTCAATTCATATAATGTACCGTCCATGGTCCAAGCGACATATAACCAGTTGTTGTTTACAACGGCAGTTAATTACATGTCTTAACCTACAATTATCTTGGTAGGTCATAGGATATATGCAATCTGACGCGTGACCGACGACTTGAATGATAATTTATTTTACAAGTTTCATATTCCATATATAGACGTATGCCGCTATTGAATGTGGCAATGCCATGTTAATGCCATGTTTTATGTTCAGTCACAGTATAAATAGATAAGATATATATAAGGCAGTCAGCGGAAAAGTGTCCCAAGCTTATCATAATATGGAGATACTGAGGTTGGAATTTACTTTAACACTGCTTCGTAGGCAAAAACAATACGCGCAAAAATAATGTTTAGAAAGCCACCTGTTCTCTATGGGTGAGACTAGGGTTTTGCATCAAAATTTATTATGTTTTAAATAAATTGCAATAGATAAGCGCGAATATGAAAAATTGTGAGTTAGGCCACTTTTGCGCTGATGGTCTCATATAAAGAATTAAACAAAAACACGTGAATTGGCTCTTAAAAGACCAATTACACGAGAATTCAAGTAGTGATTTTGGAAAACAAAACATAAACGGCGTATTCGCCGAGTTAAGAATTGAAACAAGGTGTGAAAACAAATAAAAGACGTAAAAGTTGGATTCAGGATGAAAGTGCACGGAATCCAGTTTGACCAGTTAATCAGGAAGCTGTCTAGTCGTGACGTTTATACGGTTTTGAACTTTAAGCTTCTAGTGTAATGTTTATTTTTGTTCAACATTAGACGTGACAGTGTCGTCGTGTCCACTGTACAGAGGCACAGACAGCGTCGAGAATAATAGCGACGGCTAGGGAAGCGATTAAAAAAAACATGACGTATTCTATCTTATTCTATCGCAGGCAGAATCTAATATGTTTGTCTCGTTTTAGTGTCGCTTTTTCGTTTCAACTAGTTCCAAATCAAAGAAAGGTGTTATTTATTATCTAAATACATAAAAATTTTACATTAAATAGAATCTAAATTTAAAAAAATATGCCTACTTCGCTTTAGTCTTTAACGTTTACTAGCATTTTAATTAAAGCAATAGCCACTGTATCTAATGATATCATATAGAGATTTTTATTGCTCTGGGTGAGAAAACTGGCTCATGTCCCATTTGATCGTAAATTGTGACCCGAGCTGGTGGTGAGAAGACCGAATAAACCATGGAATATCTTGCACCGATCATCTTCGCTTGATAGAACGACGGTACGATATTATTATGATAGCTTGTAGCTTATATTCATTTAAGGTCTGTTTTACTGTCGGCAGATGACAGTCACAGAAAGCTTAGTTGATTTGCGTCTGAGTTTGGCAAAATTTGATATTTATTAGCTCAGACTCGCACACTCACCATTCATCATCATCATCACCACCATTATCCTGCCCTTCTCCCAGTCGCCTGGGGTCGGCGCAACATGTTTTCTCCTTCCATACTCTTCTATCATATACCATTTCTTCGCCCACTCTCCATATCGTCTTTCACGCAATCCATCCATTTCTTCTTAGGTCTACCTCTTCCTCTATATCCTTCCACATTCATAGTAAGCACTCTCTTACCAACCTCGTTTTCATTTCGTCTCATCACATGTCCATACCATCCCAAACGCGCACTTCTCAGCTTCTCTGTCACAGGTGCCACTTTCAGACTTCCTCTAACATATTCATTCCGTACTCTATCCATTCTCGTTACTCCACACATCCATCGCAACATTCGCATCTCTGCTGCATGCAATCGCCTATGCACACTATTCGCCTTAAAATCTTCGGTAAATATTCGGTGGTATTTATCTCAAAGGTGGTTTTAATGGTCTAATAATGTTGGCGAATCAAAGAAAACTACCAAAAAATTCTAATTTATTGATGCAAAATGATGCAATTGCTCTCAAACAAAATAAACATTTCGTATTTCGTAAGGCACTCGTTCATTGAGTGAAGACATCTGATTTTAGTAAATACGATGGCCGTGACACGTCGCAGTGAATGTTGTCGGTTCATACTAATGTCGAATTTATATAGAAACGAGAACGCGTAGCTTCGATTGCGGCCACTTTCAAAATAATTATGTATACCTATATATATACATAATGATATATATATATATATGTATATATAATGATCATGGTTCTATACTATTCGCATATACGAGTGTTACTGTGTTACTTATAATATTTGCTATGTGTATGTGCTATAATTCTCATGTTGTATTTGTTATTTTAGTTATGTGTTATGTGTTCTACACACACTCATCACTTTTTATTATTATTCTCATTATCCTCTCGCAGATCTGCTGGAAGAGATTTCTCAAAGAAATAAGCAGTGCCTTTGTACATAATTTTCCTATTACTCTGTACTGTGTCTTGTTTTCTGTGTGTACATAAATAAATAAATAAAATAAATAAATAATACATATAAATAAATACGATTTTGTATGTTTGTACGTAAAAACGTTTTTTTTATGTCCTCAAGGAATAAGTTAATTCAAATATCGCACATACGATGCGGTAACGTCACTTATGCAAATTATCTAATTTTTCAGGAGAAACGTTGGAAAATTCAACATCTTATATAGTTCTGTTAGACTATAGAAATTAAATAAACTACAAAATTTCATCAGTAAAAGCAAACATCTCTCTTGTCTCATTTATAACGATTAAAAAATGTATTTTCTCTTTTTTTTTTATTGCTTAGATGGGTGGACGATCTCACAGCCCACCTGGTGTTAAGTGGTTACTGGAGCCCATAGACATGCAAATGTGCCACCCACCTTGAGATATAAGTTCTAAGGTCTCAAGTACAGTTACAACGGCTGCCCCATCCTTCAAACCGAAACGCATTACACGTTTCACGGCAGAAATAGCCAGGGTGGTGGTACCTACCCGTGCGGACTCAGGAGAGGTCCTACCACCAGTAAAAAAGTTCAATTCAGTTCAGTGTTAACAAAAATTGCATAAGTGACTTTATATAGCACCGTATGTGCGATATATAGGTAGTAATAGTTTTTTTTTGTAATTCATACCTTATCGTACCGTATTTATCACATTCGCACTAAATTTTTTGAAAAATATTTTAAATTTTGACTGATAAAAAACTTTTCTGACTATACTCAACAATAATAAAAGTAATAAGTTTATTTGGGTCATGTTTATAAATGATCGGAAAACCGGTAGTCCGTTATGTGGTATTGGGTACGGTAACTATTTAGTAATGCGCTACTTGGAAATGTATATAAAAATCAATTTATAATCGTGATTCCAATGAATTCAGCTAAAACGCCTTAAATTATTAAAAAGTCGAATATTATTTACCTTGGATCCATCGTGATAATCCAGATAGCGAAGATCGAATCTATCAAAACACTAAAACCACAATAAATGCGAGTAAAACCACGATCACGAAATGTTCACACGGTTCCAAATTCAAACTTTTGACGTTTAGACACGCGAAACGCCAAATTTGTTTTTTTTTTTTTCGTATCAAAAGCACCGGTCACTTTTCTATCAGTGACTTGTTTTTTTTTTTTTTTTATAACACGTTACGGAATTCGCTGTCTCGGTCGATAGAAAGCCATGAGTGTTCCGGTCGAGGACTTTCTTCGGACGCGTGCGCTGACGTGCTTCGACTCACGGTGAGTGAATCGTCCGAGCCGATGCCGTTTATTGTACCGATATTGTTGCCTAATTCGAATTATTTAATTCTTTATTAACAGTAACATCACATTATTGTTGCCTACATAAAGCTTAAAGATACAAATTTGTAAATTTCGATCCAGAATATGTCGTGGTGGGGAGGGTTGAGACGTCGATGTGAATGTCATTACCACGCAATCTGCTTTTTTTTCCTTATTTATTCGCTGGTAGCCTACGAGGCTATTTGAGCTACGCCCGGACGGATAGGTGAGCTCACGGGGTCAACCTGAGAGAATTTGCTAACATTAGCCTCAGCAAGAGCAGTGCTTCGCAGAATCTACAACTGGATTGCAATCGCGACCCACGGAGAAGATCCGGCGAGAAAATCAGTGGGCAAGGCAATCTGTATCGAAAACTCTTCGTAAATTTTTTAAGACGATATATTATGTGGTATCGATCGATTTAAGGGTACGTGCATATTTCTGACATCTACTTTCGATGCTTTTAGGCTCTTCAAGCACCGGTCACCGTGCTCGTCGAAATCGTCAACACCGTCGAAGAGTTCGATGTGCGAACTAGCCCATAGTGGGTCGCGATTCCGATCCGGTAGTAGATTCCGCGAAGCATCGCTCTTGCTAGGGCTAGTATTAGTAATTCTCTCAGGTTTAGCCCGTGAGCTCATCTACCGGTCCGCGTATAGTTGGAATAGCCTCTTAGGTTACCAACGATTCCCTAGAATAGAAAAAAACCAAAGGATAAGACGCCCGGTATACGCATGCGATGCGAAGCGACATCGGCCTAGGTCGATGTTCAAAACTTTACCAAACCAACCATTTTCTAATGAAACACCCACTTAAGTCACAATGCTATTTTGAAATTTTCGTGTGTTTAATTTATGAATGTGGTTTACGCAATACAGTTATATATTCTTTTTATAAAGCTGTTTTTAACGTAAACGCTAATTGGGTTGCATTGGAGTTGTTGATGTAAATTTTATTATACACCTATCCGCGCGGACTCACAAGAGGTCCTACCACCAGTAAAAAAGTTCAGTTCAGTTCAGTGTTAACAAAAATTGCATAAGTGACTTTATATAGCACCGTATGTGCGATGTATAGGTAGTAATAGTTTTTTGTTTGTAATTCATACCAGTTGTTGATGTAAATTTTATTATACAGTCAAACCTGGATAAGCGAGAGTTCAAGGGAGCACAATCTCATTCTCGCTTATAGAGGTTTCTCACTAACCCGAGTTTATCGCTAATGCACCCTATGAATTTCATTTCGCGATTTTCCGGATTCAAACGCATTCACTATTTTAAGTTTATCACTTAATGCCTGTACTTTAATTTTCCGTTTTGACATGATGCAGAACAGAACTTTCTTTCGCAATTGATTAACGATAAACTGAGTAAGTCCGACAAACAGGACGATACACAGGCACACGTGTCCATTCGAAAAGAATGCGATAAAATAAGAACGTTATTTAGTTCCACGAAATAGAATAGATTTAATATTGACGAGAAAACAATACAAAAACAATGGTAGGAAGTTCCACGAAAGTTAAGAATGAGTCATAAAATAGCAGATGTTAAATTTGTAATTTGTTTTGTCATATATTCCTCCTAAATAATATAAATAAATAAAGCTCGACTGTCGCTTATAGAGGTATAGATAAGCAGCAGTCTCACTTACGGAGGTCAATGAGGGAAAAACGACTCTCTCTTACAGAGGTTTCTGTTTCTCGCTAATAGAGGTTTTGGAAGCTTAAAATTACGGGTCCTGGCTATTACTCTAACTTATAGAGTTTTCTCACTTATCCAGTTCTCACTTGGCCAGGTTTGACTGTAAACAGTATTCTTCAAAGCGCCTGATTGATATGATTTTTCTGCATAATGATATGTCTTTTACACATATTGTTGCGTTAAATTAAAACGTATCATCACTTTGGGTTCCAATTATAATTATAATATAGGAAAAGGTGATAATACTCAAGACATTTCAGAGAATAAACGCGACCGCATAGGGCCAAAATACAAAACTTTATTGGCGAATTGAGAACTTATTCTAACTTCTTTATGGACGTTAAAAGAGGCACATGGGTACCATTTTTTTAATTTATACTTTGTACAGTACTTTTTAATTCAACAAAACTCGTATACAATTTTTTTGTTGCATTCGTAGTAAATGTGTTTTATTGAATTTATTTGCTTATATATTTTTATTTTTCTATGTGAGCAGTATTGTATCTAAATATCAAAGATAAAAAACTTCGAGAAAGAGTGTTTGTCAAGTTTTTTGATCATATTTCGTTCGTCATAAGAAATGTGACATAAAACTTAATTGGAATAAGTTCATTTTGATTAAACAGGCAGTAAGTACATTGTTGGATTATATTTATTATTCGTATTGTTTTTCTTTTCAGTTTTCATCGAATGGATTTTTCGTTATATATTGCCCTGATGCTAAAAATAGAATTCTTAAAAATAATAATTTAGTTTGTTAAAGTTGCGTACTTAGGACAAAAATTCTTTATCGACCACAGAATCTATAAAGTATTCGAAACATTTGAAATAAAATAATCTTTTTTTTCTCCACCTTATCTAACTAGGTGGGGTCGGCATAGCAAATTTTTCTCTTCCGTTGTTTTCTATCAGCCGTCATCTCAACACACACTCTCTCTCTCATATCGTCATTCACACACTCCATCCATGTCTTCTTCGATCGACCGCTTCCCCCTCTACCTTGCACTACCATTTCCATACATCTCCTAGTCACGTGCATCTTCTCTCTACTCATCACATGTCCATACCACGCTAACCGTCCGCTCTTTAATTTGTTAATCACCGGGGCTACTTTCACACTTCCTCTGATATACTCATTTTTTATCTTGTCCATTTTTGTCACTCCACACATCCATCTCAACGTGAGCATCTCTGCCGCATGCGGAGTGCATGCTTTACATTCGTCGTTTATCTGAAATAATATAATGACAATAATAAACGCGAGATTAAAACTCAAAAGTACCTTTCATTATGTTTACGGACTCGCGAATACAAAAGAAAATATCACACGACAAAACTTACGATCCCAATATAAAATTCAAAATACATTTCGACGCCTGAAAGGCAAAAGTGACTAAGCGACAATGCGTGAACTTTACAGTAGACCAATTTAAAGTTGAAATACCTGAAAAAAAATCTATTTTCACGATTCTAGCTGTAGGATTGGAACGATTTTAATAGACCTAGAAATATATTTTTTTTGCGCATCATATATAGTTATTGCTTATCATTTATGTACAAAACAGTTATTGTCGCTTAGTCAAGTTTGTCTTTGAAGCGTCGATTTTATATTTTGAATTTGTGATAATTTTAGTCGAAGAATTTCTCTGTTTTGGCACGTTTTTTTTATGTTCTTAAATTGATTTATTAAACTAAAAAACGAGTTTTGCAGATTATTGTCCTAATTTCCTGTGTACCGTTACTATACTCCGTTATCTTTCATTCGGGTAGATTGATTGAGGATTTTATAATCTAGCAGTTAGACCCGCTTAGACGCTTCGCTGTGACTTACGAAACACAAGAAGTACACATTAATTTTGGATAAAATTACGCAACAAACCACGGTTTATCATTTAAATTCTGCCCTTCAGCTACTTTGTTAAAAATTTCAACCAATGTGCGCTTTATAAACGCTTAATAAACTCTAAGTTACTGTTATTATACGTTTAAACCCCAAGAAACACTGAACTGACCAAACAAAACATTGCTTTTCTCATTCCCGCCATAAATGGGTATTATATATAGATTATGCTAGGAACCTTCTGTGAAGTGTCAACAAGAATTTAATTAATAATACATACAGTCAAAAAAGTGTAAACATGTAAACAAATAAATTAAGAAACCAAAGAATATATATTTACATATATATTTTCGACACATTTTATTGTCCAGATGTGTACAAGCTTGTAGACAATGCCATGCTCGTAACTATCCAAGCGAAATTTATGTAAAGTATGAATTGAGTTTTTTGTTCTAAAATTTAAATAACATAAATGCGAACAACTTTCAAAGAAATAAATAAAAACGCCATCTATATTCATATAGCGCGTGTAATCAAGCGGTGAATAGCAGTACTAAATCGTAGTAAAAGTCTAAAGTTACAAACGGCCGTAACTAGATGGCGCTGTGCCATCAAATTTAGGCCTAATGATTTATTACTGGTTCCAAACGACAATATTTAATTACACTAAGTGAATTATGATTTGAATATTGTAATTATACACGTGTAGTATTCGCACTTGCGCGTTTCCTTTTTTATTATACATCACGATACCGAATAGTATCGTGTTACAGAGTCGTTAATCATAAGACGTATAGATAGGTAAATTGTATTTGAATAATGCCATTTAAAATTAATTAAAGCGCTTTTGCAACAATAATAAGGTGTTAAAACCGTTGACACAAAACAAGATCACGACATGCATAAAAAAAAACCATTATGTATATGTCATACATATTCAAATGTAAAATTTCTTGAAATCCAGTTGTTGGTATTGCATCGGACACGTGAGGGTTTCAAATTCAATAGATTCAAGATCGTATACAGCTCTTTATATGTATACCGCCTGGACGGGACACTACGCCCAAGCTTTTTTTTGCTCGAACTAATCGTTGGTAGCCTTTTTTTATTTTATTTTTCCTTCCTATGCTGATAGCCTTGAGAGGCTATTTCAGCTTCTCCTTGACATGTAGGTGAGCCCACGGGTCTTAAACCGGGAGTGTTGCTAACACTGGCCCTTGCAAGAGCAGTGCTTCGCAGAATCTATCACCGGATCGGAAACGCGACCCACTGAGAAGACCCGGCGAGAAACTCAGTGGGCTGTGTCAGTGGCTTAATTTACTCGTCGAGCCCTTCGTCGCAAGCGATGGGTTCGGTTAAGACGGTGACCGGTGTTCTGGTAGCCTAGGTTGTATTCCGGCTACGTCCAGACGGAT